CGAAGAAACTGCAACAAAACAGGAGTTTACTTCACTTTCAAAATCACCACACAATTTGCTGTAGAACTGGCATGGTCATATATTCTTGTTTTACTACAATCTTTTGTTTCATTCTGCACTTCAACAGTTAAACCTTTTCTCATTCGATTATTTATACATATATAAATGCATATATAGCTGTTTCTTTTAACTAGGCTTTAAACATACCTCCTCTTCCAGAAACATTCCATTTGCATCACTCTTCTAAAGTTTAACCCACAGTCTTAAGATTCATTAAATAAATGACTGTAGTAATTAATACTAAAAAATTTAAAATAAAGATTTTCCAAAGTGAATGTGCAACAAAAAGTTGTTTCAATCTCAGCAAATGCGTCAGAGGGCTACGTAAAGCTGCCCCAGAACCTTTCTGTGAAGCAGTCTCTGTCCTCCTCAGATGGAAAACTAGTCAAATCAGCCACCATTTGTTAATACATCAAGTCACCTTTTCTAAAAACATGCTTATGGATATTTTAAGGATAGTTTAAAGTTATTTTCAATCAGTTAAGAACTTGATTCCAACTTATACAGTGTTAAGTATTCGAGTTCATAGATTAAAATGGCGTAGCGTTTTAAAATAGTCATATTTCTTAATTGTGCTTTCATTACAATTTTTTAAGTTTTATGTGGGTTTTTTTATGGTGGTATGATTTCTTCCAAGGTCACTTCTATAAATCTTGTTAGGTAATAAATATTTTGGTATTCTTTAGAACAAAAAACCATATTACTGTTTCTGCAACTATCTCAAAATAGAGAGACCGTTGGCTAACACCACCCATCCTTATTTTCATGAAAACCTAAACCCTTGCCACACACTGACTTATTACTCATTTTAAATCCTAACAGAGCTACAGTTCACGTTTGTTGCCAAAAATTTTCACTTTCTAATAAAACTCATAATAGATGTTTGATTTTTGTGAGGCTATACTCAAAACTGCGTTTCTTCTGCAAAGAACACAAAGACAGATACCTTATAAACAGCTTCAATAAAACGCAAGTCACTCTTTGCTGTCAGTTCCACATCACACTTTACCAAAAGCTCTGCTATGCAGGTTGAAAAAGAAGTAAAACAATAGTTGATGATAGGTAAAAATGCAGCTGGATCACCCTTTACTAACCTATTAAGAAACAAAAGTATTTTACACAGCAGAAGATAACAAAAGCCTTTCATTACATGAATTCAAACATTTAACTTTAAAGGCATTAATATAGCCAGCAAGTTATATCCAAGTATCTCATTTTAAGGTTTTTTTGTTCAGGGATATCTTATTCAGCAGTTTTTACTGTTATCTGTATAATGCTCAAAAAAAAAAGTTCTTGAGATCTTCATATAATTTAAACATTGACAGGTCTAAAGCCCACCAGCATTTTCAGCTCAACATTCAACACCTTTTTTTAATCTTTACAGGACGAAATTTCCTGAATGAAGTTTTGCAAGCACTTACAAAGAAATTACAAAGGTGAGAGATTAACTAAAGAAAAGAGAACAGCAGAAGAGCAAGACAGTGATATACTTAGGATTATTCTAAGGATTGCTCAGAGGAGGAAAATTGCACCCTTTTGTATTCCACTCCTCATTCACCAAACCCCAGCTTCCGGCAGACATTTGCTCTGCTTACTCATCACTATGTGTAATGCTGATATTTATACATAGCTTGTTTACACATCTTACTGTCATCGTGTATTGGCTCAAATTTTCACACTGCCACTTACATTGTATAATCCACATCTCTGGGATAACTTAACAGGCGAAGTCCTTGTTCTATTTTTCTTAAACTTCCATTTAGGTCTCCTGTTGCCATTATTCTGAATGCTATTCTTCTTTCAGTATGGAATAAATGTAAAAAAGTACATCCCCTTTAAAAAAATTATATACACAAAAATTACAAAATGCAATAGAATTACCACTGAAATTCAAAGAGTTTTGCTCCCATTTCTAAACACTACTACTTCCAAAGCATTACAATACAGCACAGAACTACAGCTCGATACCAATTAATACCAGGCATCATCTTCATTCCTTTGAAAGAGGATCAACCAGTAATCCTCAATGTGATCAACTACCAAAGAGCTTTAAAGATATCTGAAAACATAAGAATTAAAAATTTTGTGTTGGTTAAATCCACTAAAACTGAATGAAAACAAGTTTCTTGGCTGTTTCAAAGGAGTAGAAGTTTCACAAGTAGTGAAAAGCTTCTGCATTCTTCAGTTTAGAATGCTTCTTTTCTTCACCTGGCCCTAAGCTCACTGGCCAAAAGAGCAGTGTTTGGCTTTGCAGACATCAGAAGACAGGACTAGCAACTCATCACAGATAATACTTCTCTATTTAGACAATTCGTTAAATACACTTAAAATTGTTAAGGGGCAGGGGGTAACAGAGTGCTTAGATATTTAGGAAAAATAGTTTATTGGGATGATAACCAAAAAGTCCTTGCTTAACTTCTACATTGTAACGTACAATTTGAGAATCCACTTTTAACTACAAAAAGCTCTCTTCCTGGAGAACTATCCCACAAGGAAACTGAAGACTGAAAAAAAAAAATAAGAAAGAGAATCAGCAAAGCATGAAACCACCAACATCCAAATCAATTTTTAGATCTATCAAAGGCATAATTAAATACAGGAAGCACCCACTTTTAGTATGTACCAAACAGAACTGATTAGTAAATTGTCAAATGAAAGAAGAGAAGACTGGGGAGAAAACAAGAAAAAAAAAAAAAAGAAATTGAAAATTGCTATAAGAGATCTAAAAGTACTGGCAATTCTGCCTGGCTGGCAGATAGTAAAATGAAACACCTGAAGCAGTACTTTCAAATATCAATACTAATAATTATCCTTGAAAATAAATTTATATTTAGAGACAGCCTAAAACTACTGTACCTTGCAACCAGTTGTTTATATGTAACCAATATTAGCTCTTCTCCAATACAAAACTTTAAGAGCACAGACTGGATCACAGCCCAGCTCTTAAGTCACAACTGAAAGCAAATGCTTGCATCTTAACAACCTGGACAGACTGACAAAACTTGAGAAAGCCTATCAGCAAACTACCAAAGACAATGTTTTTTTAATCGTTTAGAGGAGATTAAAAAAAGCCTAAAAGTTGAAATTGGAAAGCTGACACCTCTCAAAGAACATTCTTCCTCACATCCTCAAGATCTGCTTGTGACTGGCTTAATCCTCTACAGTACTTGCCACAAAAGCCTCAGTTAAAGAGTAATGACTTCAGTTATTAAGCCTTAGAATAGAAAATCACTGTTCAACTTCCTGCTAGAACCTGGGAGATAATTGCTTGCCACTGTCTCCACTGAATTTCTTTTCTTGCCAGAAAACAAGTACTTTGAAGTAGTGAAGGGCCATTGACTACCAGTCCAAGCAGTGAAGGGCCATTGACAGACAACCTATAAATGAAGCACCGGTCTCAACCGGTCTCAAGAGACAGTTAAGGCTTGTATTAATGGTCTGGGTTTGTTGAGGGTGTTTTTCTTCTCGTGTTTCTATGGTGTTTAATCAGCAATCCTCTAGATCAAGCTCTTGGCATGTGTTCTGTCCTTCTTAAAGTATTTTCTTCCTATTTAATTATGGGGTTCTTTCAATGTAATCATTAGGTTCTCAGTTATTAGTTGTGCTAAATGTAAGTACACAACACTTACTGTTGAATGTTTGGGACAATTTAACCAATTTGTTTGGAAACTGAGGCAGCTATTCTTCCTGCATTACCTTACAAAGTGATCCATCCTATGGTTTTGCCAGTTTAACCACATCTTAAGACAAGTCTCAAAGAGTCTGATATAAAAGTGAAGCTCTAACCTGCAATGCAAATACTCACAGAAGATACTCTCACAGGAATTTGTCTAATCATACAGGCCATTTCCCAAAAGTATTTACAATCCTTTTTACACTGGACCTCTGGATGTAAAACCAGCAACTACTGTTATGATAAAACAAAAAAACTACTATTACTACTACAAAACATCTTGAGGTCATAAAAATAACAGTGAAGTTGGCAGAAAATCTTTCAACACAGTAAAAAGTGGCACATAGCTTATGCCTGTAGAAACTCATGACAGAACATCTACATAACATTGGCTGTCCAGAATAAAATTGGTACAACAATGTTTTAGGATATGATAACACAGAACTGCAAGTGGATCAAACAACAATTCTTGAAAACTGCACATGGTATTCAAAGAATGAGTGTAAAACAAAACAAAAACAACAACAAACAAAAAAACCAAAACAAAACAAAAAACAAACAAACAAAATAAATAGCTACGCCATGCAGGTTACCAAGTAACTCAACACTGTAAGCATTGTCTTTGAAATGCCTAACAAAATAGGTTTCTGATTTCTTCTAATTGTATCTAGACGGTCCTCTTGCATGGGGTGGGGAACTGAGGGGAAATAGCACCATTGCGCAGAGACGCAAAAACGTCACCGACAAACAGTGGATTTGGCTATCGTGCCAGATACCACCGTCGCACTTGGAGCACACAGGCAGCTCGCACAGGAGCGAACCGCACAAGGAATTGCGTGTCACTGGCTGGCTGCCCTGGGCGCCACCGCAACTCCAGCGGGAAAAACGCGTGTCCCCACCAGGACACGGCGCAGCGCGCTGAAGCGAACTCGCCAGAGTGGGACTGGGGCCGGCTCCACATCCACCCTCCCTCACTCTTGGACAGGCCGGAGGCCGGGCCTTCCCCGCCTGGGGCTCGCCGGCCCCGGGGAGAGGCAGAACTCTGCGCTGGGAGCCGGCCCGCACGGCTGGGACAAACCCCTTCCCCGGGAGGGATCCTGACGCTCACCCGCGCCAGGCGCACCCCCCGCGGGAACCCCGCAGTTCCCGCCGGAAGCGCCGCTGTTCCCTCTGGGAGCCGAGCCGGGCACACTCTGAATCTGCCGCCGCGAGCCCAACGGCCACTTCCGCTTCCCGCGCCTCCCCGCGGTGACGTCACTTCCAGCAACAACAGCAGCCGTCAGAGCGGCGCAGTGGGGACGCGGGGCAGCGGGCGCGTCCTCCTACCGAGGCTCCTTCCCAGCCCAGGCTCCCTCCCTGCGCCCCTCCGGCTGCCCCCGCCTCTCCCCGGGGCCGCGCAGCCCCTTTCCGCCCGGCGCGGCTCTCGCACGGACGCGGGCCGGGCTCGTCGCGGCGGCGGTGGGACCCGGGCTGGCTCAGGTACGGCCCGCGGTGCCCCGGGAGGGCGGGCGGGAGGGCGGCCTGGCCAATGGGGAGCGGGGCCTTGGGGGCGGCCCAATGGGGCCCGGGCGCGGCATCGCCGGGAGCGGAGCGGCCTTGCCCTGCCCGCCCTGCCCGGCCGCGCTCCCGGAGCCCCTCTGTGTGGGGAGGGGCGCGGCCTGAGGCGGCGGCGAGCAGCGCGGCTGCGGAGCTCCTGGAGACGCGGGGCGGCTTTGGGCCTGCGGGACGGGCTGTGCTTCCGCCCGCCAGCCTGGTTGCCCGGAGTCAGTCTGAAGCCCTCTAGGATTGAAGGACTCGCACGGTTACGGGCCTCGGTTACGAAGGAAGGAACGTTCTCCTGCGGAGATGATTGTGGCTGCAAAACGGCAGCCACAGGGCTCGGTTACCATAAAGCGGAGAGCGTTTAGATCAAGAGTGCGTGTTGCTTTTTATTTAACGAAGTAGAAACCGGTGCTAATGCGTCATTAATCAAGATTCCTTTTAGTATCCTATCGTGCTTGTCAACACTGCTAAAGAATTTATTATGTAGTAGCAAAGTAACATGAAAAAGTCGCAATTAGAATTTAAATCAGCCTTTGATAGATACCAGACAGAGCCGGAAAAGATCAGCAATTTAGAAACAAGCTTGGTTATTTTTACTGTGATAGTTTTTACAGCCAAGCTATCAAGGTTTCAATTCCTAGATAAAGTTACATTACTGGAAGTTTGAAAACATACATTTGAGTGGCCTGTTGAATCTGGAGATTGAAAATGTATGTTCAAATTAATTTAAACATGTATTTCTGGATACCATTACTTAAAAGACTTTATTATAACAATGGGATTGCTCATCTTGTGTTACGAGTGAGTTCTGAAAGCGTTTTTCCTGAATTACTACGAAGCTGAAAGTAATTACATGATGAGGAAGATTATATGTGTTCTAACAACTAGCATATAAGCTGCTGAATAGCTACACGGATATTGGAGCCTTGTGGATTTCCAGCAGCTGGTTCTAGAATGGTTTGTGTCTCACTTTGTTTCTTTAAAATTTCTTCAGTTGGTCCTTAAAGTAGCGAATGTATTTTTTAGTCTTTTTTATGTTACAAAAAGGGGTTTTATACTATTTCTGCAGTGACGTCCTCTTTTTAAGTATGTGAGTACATTATTCTGAAGGATTTGTGTTAGGACACTAGGCAAGATAGCTTGAAAAGATATTCATTCTCTTGTTTCTAAGCACCCAAAATCCTTACTGCATTATGGTTGAAGTCAAGAAACTTTGTTTCAGTGTCAGTCACAACTTCATCTTGTGTGCTACCCAATACTCAGGGCAATTTGTTTTTCTTTGTGTTTTATACTGCTTCATTGACGCTAAATGGGACATTTTTATTAAATTTTAAAGGAAGTCTAAAGATTCCAAATGTTCTGAATCTTGAGGCTCCTTAACTTGCATAGGATGTAGATAATATTTGGTACTCTTTGCAGAAGCTTATTGTTAATTTTGTAACTCTTCAAGCATGGAAATTTTCGAAAAAATCTAGGCTGTCTTATGGGTTTTGTTTGCAGTATTTTTTCAGTTGTTTTATGAAAACAGGTGACATGGTCGCCATAATTTTGACAAAACTCACTTCTTATCTATTCTGATCAGTCCTACAATTTTATTTTGCAGTGTGTGCTGAGTCTGTCTTACAAATGTTTATTAATAGCCGTCAACATTTAATTTGGATTTTATGTCCAGCAGGCTCGCAGATGGGTCAGGGACTCTGGAGAGTTGCTAGGAACCAGCAATTGCAACAGCAAGGATACAGTGGACCAGGCTATCTTACCAGAGAGCATGGTAGGAGGGTAGCTGCTAACGTTTCCAATACAAGCCATCGCAAACAAGCCCAAGGAGGCATTGACATCTACCACCTGTTGAAGACAAGAAAGTCTAAAGAACAAGAAGGATTCATTAACCTGGAAATGCTGCCACCAGAGCTTAGTTTTACCATTTTGTCATACCTGAATGCAACTGACCTCTGTCTAGCTTCATGTGTCTGGCAGGATCTTGCTAATGATGAGCTCCTCTGGCAAGGGTAAGCATGAACAAAAAAGTGTGACCTGGACATTATAAAAATAATTAGATTTTAAATTTGTCTCAGTAAGTGCTTTTTGGCACTCTGACCTTAGCAAAGGATTCCTAAGTTAAATGAGTTTTGACATAGAGGAAGCATATATAGTTTAAAAATGTGTTATTCTGGATTTCTAATTACTATTGGGTATTATTGAAGATTACTACATACAAAAGTGTATTTGGCACAACTATATTATTACACACCTATTGTTTGGCATATTATGGGGAAAAAAAAAGGGGACTTGTTTTCACTTTGGTATTAGCTCAAAGCACATCTCAAATGTTTGTATTATTTCTCTGAACTTCAAATCAGTGTCTAGCTTGAGCGAGGAATGCTATTCAGATAAACTTCCAAATGAAAAGACAGGATAACTCATCTACTATATTTGTCTTAGAGCAACTTAGGTGTATGTTTTTTTAGAAGACAGTTATGGAGGTGGGGAAAAAAAAAGGCTGGTTTTTCTCAAGTAAAATGTCTGCAGTCTAGATTTAAACACATTTATGTAAAACATATGCAGAGCTTGTATGTCTAGGAACATTCTTTCATGCAAAATACTATAATATCAAAATGTAATTAACAGTATTTTCTTTGATATTTTATGTTTTACAACACTAGGAAAGACTCATGAAGTCATACTTATCTTCAGAGTAGATGGTTAGCAAAACTTGTAACTTCTTTCACATTTTCTTACCCCTTAACCAATGGTACCGTATCTGTAATAGTTAGGGGTTTGTTCAGGTTGTTTCTTTTGCTTTCATTGTGCTCTACATCTCTTCCTTTCCTTGTGTGTTTCCTTGCCCCTCTGCGTTTGAATTAAGCAGCTTCCCTTCCTATCCTGCTTTATGAACCTAGCAGTAGGATAATGCATTATAATTACTTAGTCACAATTGTTCTACCATTGGGGATTGTTGTATTGACAGGAAATAGAAATTCCAGTGAAGGATACCAGTAACTTCTAAGTTTATCAGTACACATTGTACTGTGCTCACTTCTTGGTACCAAACCCACCCTAAATACAAATAAATTCCCTAGGCTAAATCTTGAAGATACTAGAGCTTCTTTGTTGTATGCAGTATATATTCTTAACATACAGGGGCAAAAAAACCTCCAATGTATTTTCCTCAAAGTTCATTCTGGGAAATAGTTTGATCATTTCTAGTGAAATCTTTCCAAATAATGGTCACATTCAAAGTATGCACTTTGGTAATGAAAATGTGCCCTGATTTAGCAGATTAATAAGAATCTCAATTTGCATAATCTCTGTAAACATCTACAGATCTTCAGCATTCCATATGTATTGGATGCATTTAAGCTTTGGCAAGTCCTGTGGCTGCAGTTCTGAACTCAGTCCAAATAAGTCCCAGGTCTGAACTGAAAACAAAGTCTGTGCCATGTCCTCCTTGCTGGTCCTAAACATTGTGCCTAATTAGTTACATAGCAGGTGTGTTGAAGCAAAACTACCGGTTCAATGAGGAATCTAGAGAGCATAGAAAATGAAAGTTGAAGGGAGTTTCAGATGATGTCATCAAGGAGACTGAGATGAAGGACAGAAACCAATGAAACTGAGATACAGAGTCAATCTGGGATGGAAGGGAAAGAAACTGAGAAGTTATAGAAGATACAGAGGGATGGGGCTAGATCTAGTAATTAGGACTGGCCAAGACATGAAAAAGAAGATTCTGGTGGAAAAGGTGGGGAAAGTGGTGAGTTAGTGGCATACTTTTGTGCAGATGTGGTGTCTCATTCACTGCACAAGAAAAGAAACACAGTGTTTTATTTGTCATAATACTGCAGGAGAACAACACCTCACAGTTCTTGTTCAGATACTACCAGGGCCAGAGGTCTCCACTGTGTGGATTTCGTTATGATGCCACCTACTGGGATATGTTTCGAGTTTGCACTCAAATACACCAAAACCCCTGTGAGAAGAAAAAAATGATCATATAATTGAAGATTGTAGCAACACACATGCAAAAGAATTAATAACTGAAAGAATTAATAACCTATTTCTAACTTTTCCTATAGTTTGAGTATTTAGCTTTGCAGTGTTGATTACATTTTGCTTCTGTAAAATATATGCAATTCAGAAAAGAATTTTTATAATAGACTAATTCTGTTTTCGTAGGTTGTGCAAATCCACTTGGGGTCACTGTTCTATATACAATAAGAATCCACCTCTAGGATTTTCTTTTAGAAAATTGTATATGCAGCTAGATGAGGGAAGTCTCACCTTTAATGCCAACCCTGATGAGGTAAGTGAACTGTTGATGACAGTAATACACAGTTAAAATAATTGTGATTGTTGTTTTATAACTAAAGCTATATAAAAAACAAGTTTTAATAAGTGTTTGTTTTACTGTAGGGGTGGTTAATACTAAGCTACAGCCCTATTCTGGTCTTTTTTTGAGTATTGTAGCTGTGCACACCATTTACATGACTTGCCTCTTAAGTACTCTGTACCAGTCTGACCTATGGATGCCAGAAATCCATAACCACATATTGACTTAGGAACAAGGCACATATCCTAACTGAAGAGACAGCGGTGAATTTTTAAAGGACAATAAGACACTTCCATAAATTAAAATACTAAAATGCTTCTACAGAGTATGAGTTTGGTTCCACTTCAGGTAAAGTAGAATGAGGTATTAAGTCTGACTACTTCTATGACAATTATGTTTTGTTGTAAGCGACTTTTACTTAATTTCCACTATCAAGGGGCAAATCTTGAAGTATTATGGGAAAGATATACTGCTGAACTATTCTGAAGTTCAGTTTGATTTGATTTCTGTGGATATTTGTATTGCATAATCTTTATAGTATAGAAAAACATAAATTTATCTTCAAAAAACATATCCCATGTCAAATTGAAAGGTTTGCATTTATTAATTCATGTAACTAACTGGAACAGTCAGTTTCTTCTTTCAGTCTGTCACCTTTCAAAGAAGAAAAGAGTATGAAAGTAGACAACTTTTGCCTGGAAGATATGCAATTAGTGCCCAAGTGACAAAGCCAGACTCCTGCTTAATGTTTTGTAGGAAAGGAGTGTACACAATGCAATACTGAACAAAAGTAGCATTAACTTCCTGCATATAATTATGCATACAGAAAGAAGTGGTAATTGAATAAATCCAAAGTAGGAAAAGGACTAAGAGATATGAAAAGATATACTTCTAGAAGCAAATTGCACTCTGCAGATATGATACAGAAAATATGAACTTGTTACCACAGGGTGAAATAAATAAAGCAGTGGTATAAATCATTACAATAATGTGATTTTGCTTAAGTTCTTGCTTTATCTCATGTTCTGCTTGATCAAGAGACCACTACTTTTATCAAAAATTGGAGTATTTTGTAATTTTTGTCATAGAACTCTGCCTTGAATTCTGATACACAGTGTTGAGATTCAGCACCTTGCCACTTGAGTGATTAATATTGATTTTCAGCAGAATTTTCATAAATTTAGTAAAAAATATAAAGGTTTTCAAATGAAATGGAGTATTTAGGTAACTTAAATGTTTTCAATAATATATCAAGTTTTAATTGGTAGCAACTTTGTCCATCCAAATTTTTCTTTGTATTTCAGTTTAACACAATCTTTAACTTAACTATGTGAGTTTATAATGTGCTGTTATATTTCAACCCTATATAAAGTAATCTTCATATGTTTAAAGCATTTGGAGCCTTCACAAAAGGCACTTAATAAAAAAATCCATTATTTTTAAAGGAAATTAAGATCTGCAGATTAGAGCTAATTTATAGTATACCTAAGTTAGGTATTAACTTTATTATGCTCCTCTTGCTTCCTATGGGTTCATTATGGTTTTATTGTACAATAGTAGTACAAACAGTCTGCTTCAATGAGAGATGAGAACCTCGGGGTATCTCCTAAGGGCTCTGTTCCTCTCTCCCTGTGGAGCACCATAGCCTGGTAGGAATCATTCAGGGCCTGAGTTTCAACAATTGCTTTTATTGTTTACAACTGTGATATTGGCAGAATTATTATTATAAGGACACTGTAACTGGACTATATGATATGAGGTTCCACTATTACAAATTGTGTCTTCCAATTTCCTGCCAAACTCTGCTTTACATTTGATAACAGACCTGATCAAATTACTATAAAAATAGGAATACTTACAGCCACAGGAGCAAGATTCTCCAAAGGACACCGCCCATGTCATGAAAGTGGGTAACCAGGCTCCACAGCAACAGCTCCAGAGCTAGCGGTGGCTCACGGGGTAGGGAAGAGCATCTACACACTTTGTGGTAGGATTCTCTGGTTAGCCATTGTTGTGTGCATGGTGTTGTGATATCTGCTGTAGTTTAACGTGTTGATTGTGTGCATGAGCTTGCATAATTCATAGCAAGTGCTCACATTCAGCTGAAAGGATGTGCCTAATCACATTACACATAAAAAACCCCTCCAGTGCATGTTTGGGTTGGGTTTTTTTTTTGGTTGATTGGTTGTTTGGTTTTGTTGGGTTTTTTTTCATATGGCACCACCACTGTAGCCAAGATTTTGGAACCTGGTTTTTTGTTGTTTCTTTGGAGAGGGGGGAATTTAGTGTCAGTATTAACATATGAGTATGAATATTGTGTTGTTTAATCTGCCTACATGGTCTCTGCTGTATTTTATTTTAAGGGGAGTGTATGGTGTATGTGAAATATTTCTCATGCAGTGCTCATTTCAACTCATGTGCTTATGACTCAGAATTTGTAAGCAACCAGAAGTTATTTCCCACTGTTTTGTATCCAGTTTCTAACTCCCTACAAAATATATTGTCAAGTTTAGTATGTGGAGCTATGCTATGTAGTTAAAATTGAAACTGAAGGTACAAAATAAAATCTTTTGGTCAGAAAGATATTTTTTTTTTTTTCATCCTGTCAGTCTTTAATGAGGTTGTGATTTCCTTTATATAGCATAATAATAAAGTTCAGTAAGACAGTGCTTATGCTAAGCCTGGCTTTCCACTCTTCTGATTGTCTTTTTCACTATCAAGTGCCCTTAGTTTTTGTCAGGGAGGTCAGTTTTTTCTGACCTTTTCCTGATTTTAAATGATTTGCCACTTGTATATAAAGTCAGCTACCTTACCTGACTTTAATTATAGATAGTGTGTAGATGGTGGAATGTTTACAATGCTGTATATTTCTAAGCAGTTTTTTTTGAAACTTATCCTATTTCATTATCATTTACTAAGCAAGCCAATTTTTAGATGCATTGATTTATCTGTCTGAAGACTACCAGAATTATGTGTATGCTATAGGGGGAAGAAGTTCTTTTGTGTGATTTATCAAAAAAGTTGGAAAGGAACATACAGCTCAAACCTTTTGAAAACTCTACATTAAAGTCAGAGAGGTTTAATCTTGTAAATTATTAGTTATGGATTCTGTGTAATGTGGAAAATATTTCTGTGTTCTACTTGCAATTTCTGCCATCATAAGTTTGTATCACTGAAACTGTATTTTAAAGAGGTACAGTGAAAGTGACACTGAAATGTATGTTATATATTGTGTCCACATTTGTCACCAAATTACTTGATTCATTATTTAGTAAAAGAATCTTAAAAATTTCTAGTAGAAAATATCTCATCTGTACTGTGCATTTTTTCCAGAAGATGCACCATGAACTATATAAAGATACTGCATTTCCCTAGAAAAATGGGAGCAATAATATTATTTTGTCTAATTATTTTTTGCTAATAATGTTAGTGTTACCTAGAATCCCCAATAAGAAATTGGCACCCTACTATGCTACATACTCTATATACAGAATAAAATGAGTCACTATCTCCGAAGAATTTAACTAAATAATTAAGCTATTATTTAAACTTGAATTCATATATTTTCTCAGCTTTTCTTTAAAAATGTTTTAATTTTGTTGGTGATCAAAATCACCTTTTTTAAATACAGTACACACTAGAAAGATATGAGCACTTTGTTGATACTTCTGTAATCCTACCAAAATGTAAAAACTTATAACTTGCAGTAATATAAATCATCTAAAAATGTTTATGTAAAGATACTACTAGTGTTTTCCTTAGTCACCTTTAAAAACTCTTAAACTAAACAAATACAGCATGTGTAAAGCCATTTATGGGAAATTTGAAATATTAAGTGAAATTTGTCTTTATTGACAAATGTATTTGTCATATATTTTCCTACACTGCCTTTAAGTAGGCATTAGATAAAAATCTTCATTGTTTCCCGACTCTGATTTTGCAAACAATTCCATTTGAATATGAAAAGGAGAAATTATTTACATATGTAGAAAAACACTGATTCCAAAATTCCTGTGCCATTAACTTAAAATATGTCTGGTTTGTTTTGTATGCATATGTAAACAGAGGTGTCAAAAGCAACTACAGAAGTTTTAATGTTGACTGCTGTATTGAAGTGTTCTGAAAGTACTCCTAGCAGTGAAGAAAATAAATGCAGAAATGAAACCAATACTGAAAAATAAAAGTTTTCCATTTTAGGTATCCTATATGGATATAAACGAATGCAAAGGCTCTTGGAAACAGGCAGAAAAGCAAACAAGGAGAGTCAGTGCTGTAGTAGAATAGGTTGGGAAAACAAGCATTGTGTGCATGGAAAAAAAGGAGCAACTGTAAAAAATAACATACTGAAATACAACAAATGGCTTTTGTTGTTACTATTAGTCTATAGTTATGATTGTTATTTGCATATGTAATTTAAATCAACGCTTCCATACGTTGATATTTTATCCAGAGCTGTCTGAAATTCAGTGATAATATTCTTGCCACAGAGGCAAGGTATCCTTGAGGCATCTCCTAATTCTCTAATGCTAAGAACATTATAGTGCTCTGAATCAGAATTAAAAGAACATACTGTATGTGCTCATCCCTCAATGTCTCCCAAGTGTTAAAAAGGCCTCTTCAGACCTGGCAGAGAGTGGCACAGATCTGCCTACCTGACTGCAGTCAAATGTTTCCTAAGGGAATCACCAGCTGACTGATAAATAATCTTAGCTTAGGTTTTAATAGCGTGTAGAACTACTTATTTCAGCTATTATGTATGCCACAAGTGACCACCCTAGCTACCAAAAGAGATCTGTTTGAAGCGTGATTTCTGAGAGAGTTTCCAGGCAGTATTTACAGTGCTAGAAAAAGCAGATTCGATGACATGCTGTAAATCTTGTAAATGAACTTCATTTGCTGGGAGACAAAATTTAAGAACTTAACAGAGAAATCAGGTTTCTGCTGTTGCAAAGTGTTTTTGATAGCTTAGAATGAAATAAAAAGCAACTAAAAATGATGGCATGTGGTAAATATCATTTATACTCTGTTTACTTGTGAAGGAGTTGAGGAAAATGAATGAGACTGCATTCACAGAGAAAGATATTATCAAGAATTAAGTATGGTGGGGGGAGAAAGAGGGAATTAGAGACAGGGAATAAAAATGCTGTGCAAACACCTCGTAGCCTATCAGGCGAAGATTGGATGTTGAGTTGCAATGTAGTGCACGAGAAAGAAGTTACAGCATTTACTGTCACAGAGAAACCAACCCATTGTCTGTCTTAAAGAAGGTGTTATTTTCATTCTGCCTCATCTGTGACATGCCAGGTATTTCCTGGAAGTGTGGCAGAAGTGTTTGTTCGTTGTGGCAGGAATGTTACTCAGACTTCCTCGCCAGGCTTCAGTTGGTACTACCTTAAGCAAATACACGTTACTGAAGCAAATGTGTAAATCTCATTAAGTCGGGATATATATAAAGATGTTCTGCTGCTCATCTTACATAAATTGCCAAAATTCTTGAGGAATTAATACACAGTTGTTCATTTTAATCTCCCATATTTAGTTTCTTATTTAGCTCTAATTCAAAAGAGTACTTAACGTTATGTTGTCCATCCATGTTATGGACAAAAATATGATCTAATTTGGACTGAAATGTGAATTTATAGTGCAATACATGCTTCATTACAGTCCTAAATACAGATTCTTTTAAAATTGGGTCCTAACATTGCAAGATTTATTTTTATAAACCATTTTTTAAATGAAATAAATATGTGCTATTAACAGATATTTTCTATAAATATATAAGCAAAAATTATGGACTGGTAAAAATAGCTAGTTAATATTACAGGTGTTTCTTGGCTTTTCACTTTTGTTCTTAAACATATTTTCTAATTACTTTTTTTTTTTTTGCTTGATGCAACTGAGGCTTTGCTTTACTAATCTGCTTCTTAAAATGCTCCAAACCTGCACTCAGTCCTTTATTTCTTTTTCACACAAAATTGAAGAGTACTGGGAAGTTTAGCTTACGCACTGAATGACAGGTTGCCCCTATGTCTTTATGGATGAAATGTAAACTAAAAGGGCAAACTTGCAAAGTATTTGGAAGCCTGATATCAGCGGATTTATGAAAAAATATTTCAGAAGTATTTTAAAGGTGATTTAGGTTGTGCCCTTGGTACATTGTTCTGTGCAGAAATGCACTGTCCTACATGTTCTGCATTTCAATGTTATTCTACAGTCAAGATATATTGTACTTAAGTCTTGTAACAAATGCTCAGAACCACTCTCAGCCCCTACCAAACTGAATTGGAACAAGTTGGTTAGTTATTCTCAGGTTTAGATTTTTGTTATTGAAAAATGTGAACGTTTTTTAAATCCATTAATTGGGTTTTGGTTTCTGAGATCATAAGGGAAATATTTTTATGTTTTGGGATATTTCAATGACCAGAAAGAATCCTGAATATCACTGAAATACTTTAAAATTAAATTTGGCATGTTTATTCTGCAAGAAATGTGTGCTTGTAAAAGTGTAAAATTGTGGAAATCATAATATGAATATGAAATATATACAATTCTGTGTTTTTAAACTATTTTTATGTTAGGCATAGTGTTCTTATTTATGTGTATGTATATTTATATATGCTGATATTTACCTATGCTTTGAAATCAGCGTGCTTGTGTTTATTTGCATTATTACACATTTAAACAAATGCATTTAATGCATCTATTTGAATGTGATACATTGTATACATGTGAGAACATTATTGTTTTAATGAAAGATATTAAAGACTAAACACATTATGGCTAAGATTTTCTTATTTACAAAAGTTATGAATTTAACAGTTATGGTCCCTGCAGCATTTTAAATACTATTACAAAGTATGAAAATAAAAATACTCATCTACACTGTAAAGAAATTATTAAAGAACTATCATACTCATTATAGGGTTCATAATTTAAAATTTCCTACTAAGACTGAATGTAAAATCTCAACCATAACAATAAATTGTTTCTTTGCATTTGATTTATAATTTTAGAGCGTATTGTGCATGTTGAAATGTGATTTAGAGGAGGAGGGATCATTCTGAAAAACAACCCAACTAATTAGTAGGATGACATTCCTACATTGTGAAGTACAATACTTGTTCCCAAATACATTATGAAGATTAAACAAATTTATATGTACATGTATTTTATCTCAGGGAGTCAACTACTTTATGTCCAAAGGCATATTAGACGATTCACCAAAAGAAATAGCTAAGTTTATCTTTTGCACGAGAACACTAAATTGGAAGAAGCTGAGAATCTACCTTGATGAAAGGTAATTTGAATTTCTCTTAAAACATTTTCTATGAATTTTCAATGTATAGCACCATTCAACAATATTTTGTTTGTAGTGATGCAATTTTAAAGGTGTAAAAAGGCAAGAAAATGCAACTAAATGATGCTGCTAAATCTGAACAGTTATTCAGTTTAAGTACTTATATGACTGTAACACGTTATAAGAACCCTCAAAAATGCCACCTATAACAATTAGTCTCACATCCTGAGATTTTCCTGCATTTTTGCAATTCTAGGCATAAATTGTTTTGAAGTTATGGTGAGCATTTAAACTGCGCAGGATAGTCTTTGCACTGTTTAACATTTGGATTTTATAGATATTTTGCTGCTTTTTTTGACTTGAGGGGGTTTTTCCCTATCTAGTATGGATATTAATCAGAAAAATTAGTTATCACTTTACCAAGGGTTGATAGATTTTTAACTAATTTTGAATCCCCTAACCATTATTTGATTGTCTGATATTTCTCAACTGCAAATCTCAAACCCCTCCTAAGATGCAATGGTGCATCCTCTTAGAGGCATCATGAGCTGCAGTAAGGAACAGTCTCCCTGCTGTAGTGTGCTCTTCTGTCTCTACAGTGCTTTCTTGTGCCATCAGGTTGGGGTGGGACGGTATGAGGAAAGAGGAACACCAGCACTTTCAACAGAAGTTGAAAGAGAAGGAGAACAATAAAGGCACCTAAATAGAAATGCTGCTGTCCTTCTGTTCTTCCTAGCAGGAATCCCCTCCTGCTTGTCATCCTCTTCAACCTGTACTACTAAAGGAATAAAAGGAAGCATTCTGTGTGTCAGTGTTATCACCACTGACAGTCATGTGCTGTATCAATCTTTTAGTCAATAGAAAATACACAAACCCATTTAGTGGATGAGGTTGCAAGTTATTATTAGCAACCCCTACTGCCATTCATCTTCCCTTCATAAACAGTGTATTCAGACACTAAAAATAAAAACCAGTTTTCTAATGTTGAAACTCCCATCTTAGTACTGAAAGGTAAAAGTTAGGTTAAACATGGCAGAATATTCTTTGGTTCACTTCAAACTTGCTTCCAAATTTTCTTCAGATGTCTTTTGCAAATCTGTAGGCTGGTATGAATCCTTTAGATTCATTTAGTTTCTGTGATCAGTGGAAAACACTTGAGAGCATGGTATGCCCTGATGGACTTAAGTGAACAGATTTTGTCTAGATGAAGCCTGGTTTTAACAAGACACTCCTATAGCAGCTTCTGCTTAGGCATTGAAATGTGTGACACGTGAATTTACTCCCTGTACTGTCTTTTTTAATGGCTTTGTCACAGTTTAAAGGAAGCAAAGCCTCCATGTAGACTGATTGAATATACATATAAAGAAACTTTGAATTCTGATTAATGTATATTTTTATAGTATTTGACTACTATATAAGTGAAAAACGTGTTGATATTATCTTTGTGCTGTTAGTGATCATTTTGCCTTTCAGCAGAAAACAAAGATCCTACTGTTCTAAAGCTTTCAGTTTTATTTTTAAAACCTACATTTTCATATTTCAACAGTTAAAAGAAACTTCTCTAATAATGTGAGTTTTCATTCTACCAGGCGAGATGTTTTGGATGACCTTGTGACGCTGCACAACTTCAGAAATCAGTTCTTGCCAAATGCACTGAGAGAGTTCTTCAGACACATTCATGCTCCTGAGGAGCGTGGGGAGTACCTTGAAACTCTCATAACAAAATTCTCTCACAGATTCTGTGCTTGTAATCCTGATTTGATGAGAGAACTTGGCCTTAGTCCTGGTAAGCAAAAATGAGCTTTGATTTTGTGGATTAGTCTTTTTGTTTCTGGATGATACTACTGTTTCTGATAGCTTTAAAATCGGCACCTAAACACGTATTTCTGAAAGTACAAACATGGTTCAGTATACAGTTATAATTCCAGTTGGGTTTAAAAAAAAACCCAAACAAAAAACAATAAACCCCAAATATACAGATTCTTTTTTTAGCTGATTAATAGAGTTTATTTCCATGTTTATTTCCTTCACTTTTGTCTGTGCTTCAGCTTTTTAATTGAGTTTTTTACTCTCTCTGAATTTCCTCTTGCAAAGTCTTACACACTTAGCATTTTACCTTGTGGATAGTCTCATAGGAATGAAAGGGAATTTTGGGCCTCATCGAAGTTAACGAGCATTTCTAATTTGTCGGGGGGAAGCAGTTTTCAGCAGTGGAACTGCTTACTTTTTTAAAGATAAGCTTTTGCAGGATATTGGCTTTAGTTCACAAAATCTTCAAGAAGCTGTTTAAATGAACATGCATAAAGCCCTTAGTGACTTTTGGATTATGTAGAAGTATTAAGAGATTTGTGAATTCTCATTTTGCAACCTGCTGACATTATTACTTTGAAAGTTTCTGTATTCAATTTCATTTCACTGGGATACCCCTTTGAGTTGTTATATATGTATATATATATACATACATATATGTAAACAAAATTATGAACCCAGATGATGAAGACCATAAGGTTCTTAGAGAGGGAACAATATTTTTAATGATCACAATTTTTTCTTTAAACTTTTTTTATTTATTCTCTCTTGTCTAGATGCAGTTTATGTACTGTGTTACTCTTTGATTCTACTTTCAATTGATCTAACAAGCCCTCACGTGAAGAACAAAATGTCAAAGAGGGAATTCATCCGAAATACGCGCCGAGCTGCACAGAATATTAGTGAAGATTTTGTAGGGCACCTTTATGACAACATCTACCTTATTGGCCATGTGGCTGCCTAAAAGCACAATTTGCTAGCACTTAAAATTTGTAATTTTCAAATATTACGTCAATTCAAGACATTAATTATTTTGTAGAGATGGGGGTTATTTTAGTGCTGGTCATTCTAACCTCTGTATGCAATCAAAGTTTGTGTGCGTAAGTGTGTGTATGTGTAAACTACCTTTTCTATCTATTTACTATGGGAATGGAAGGACTTGGTTTTCATAATTTTTTTCAGTTTTGCACAAAACAATGCCATTAGTCTGACACAGCCATTTACGAATGTTAAACTGACATTACAGTCTAAGCTGACAAAGTGGTGAATTTGTGCGTTAGATCTGCTTGAAACTTTAATAAGTTCATTCTTTTTAGAATACTGTGTAATGTGTATATATTTAACTGAAGAGATTTATAATCATAATTATTTTATTGTGAAATATTTTAACTAAAATTTCTCCTCTTATCTCTTAAAATAGTGTTGTACTTTTGTTTGCATTTTTTTTTTACAATGCTGACTACCTCAGATGCATAACTTAGAGAAACATTAGTCTGAGTACTACAATAAAGTTTATTCTAGGAGATGACAGAACACTTGTAAAATATCTAGACTGGTATTTTATACTATATTTACTGACTTGAATTAGCATATTGCCAATCTGCTATTCACTCAGTTTTAAAGATTACAGGCTCTATTTTAGATGAACCCTGATGTCATACACGGATAACCAAGGGAAATAATGCAGTGTACAGAGAATTTTACATAATTTACATATATAACCTATTTTACAGACACTAGTTTTTGGGAAACAGGGCAACTACAATCACTTATTCAGCACAGTAAGCAAGGAAAAATCCAAACGGAAAGTAGTGGGGGCTACTAACTGTGTTGCTGCTTTCAGCTGGTTCCCTCAGTCTAGAAGTGTCAATGATGGAAATGCCTGGGCAAATACATACCAGATGACTCATTGCTAAAGCTGTTAAAAACTGACTGTGCAAGATTAGAGCAGTGACTGTGCAGGATTCGAGAGCCGTTTCAGAGTCAGATACTGAGTTACTTTCAAAATCAGTCATATAGCTAGCTTTTTAAACAGTTCTAGATTTATGGAAATACTTCAAAAATTGCTTAGGTCAGGTTGTGTCTGTAGAATATTAGCAGTGCAACTGCTGTGCATGTGCAGGAATTGAATGAGGTTTTGCCTGGTGTTTGTTCAGACAGCTCACAGAGCAATGCTTTTCTTAAATTGACATAACATAGTTAAAATAAGAGCTATTCTTCATTAGGTTTGTTTACATAATATTCAGCTATCAGTAGCATCTGGATTCATCATGGCAACAAGTACATTTATTCTTTTTCCCTACCACACCATGAGGTGAGGTGGGAAGGCATTCTTAGTTAATTAATTAATCAGATTAATCTGATCTTCTATGTAGAAAGCCCATGGCAGAGCCAGGAACTGAATGCAGGTCATACTCCTCATAGGCACACACTTTGCCTACACTGCTGCTTTCCATTTGGTACATAGGGAGTGTTATATTTTATTTAGAAGTGAGAATAACCATGACAATGACAGTCCACATAAGGGCTGCCTAAATGACAGGAAGAAAAAATGTAGCTATTGCTGCTATTTCAAGTGTTTAGTACATTTTGTTTATAGCTCTGGTCCACATATAAAAATGCACACAAAAAATGTTGTACCTTTTTATTATATTACCTTTAATCAAGTGTAAATGCCATTTGTATTTATGTAGCATACACACACAAAGCCAGGAGCCAGCAGTATAGCAGCTGTCTTCCAGACAGGTTTACAGTATCACTTGCCTCTCTCAGGATAACTACTCTTCACCCTGTTTTGTTTCATGTATTTCAAAAAGTCCAAGGATGTGTTCTGCGTTGGTCAGTCAATTAATCTTAAACACAAATAAAGAGTGTGTGGTATGGTGGGGAGCTTTGTTTAAGGCACGAGTTTCTGCTCCTGTATTAGAAAAATAAAAGAAAAAAAACTAAACAAGTGGGAAAACTTGTTTAGCTAACAATAAAGGACAAGTGTCTCCTGGGCTCGTTAAAGTGATCTTAAGTGGACACTGCAGAATACAGTTTTCTAGAAAACACTCCTCAGAAGTTATACATGTAATAAGAAGAATGCAGTGAATTTTGAAGTTAGAACTATTTTTATTAGGAAATGTTTTCTTCTCAAACCATAAATGCAGAGGAAGGCTTAATTCTCTTCTGACTTGTATTTAAGTTGGCATTAGTGATACTGGTTTTGATTTTGCACTGATAAGAGAGCATGAATTGTTAGTTTGCATTTCTCTTAATCTCCATTTACCCTGATACAAAACAAAGCCTCCAGGTAGACAGAACATGTGGGTTTTTTCTGGAGTAGATGAATGTGTCTATTAGCAAAGTTTAGAAAGCTTCAAGGCCAGTGTAGCAGCCAAGAAGATAAATTAGAAACAGGATGATATGATTAAAATTTCCATAGGACAAGTCCAAGGGAAAAGGAAACAAAACCGTAATGGCATACAGATAACCACATCTGATCTTCCCAATAGGATTCTGAACAGTGTTAGATGATTAGTGCCCAACTCATGTTGTACATTATGTTTCTAGCTCAGAGCTGAACAGGAAGTAGCAAACAACATGCCAAGTGTGAATTCCCTCAGAGGCAACCAAGAAACAAAGAATGAATATAGATATTTCTTCTGTCCTTTTTTTTTTTTCTTTCCAGTTCGAGTCTTTTTCCAGAGTGGCTGAGAAGTAATTTTTTGCATTTTAATAATCTGGACCTTATGTGAAATTAGGGAATTTTCTGTCTTAAAAGGAAAAAATAGTCATAAGCAGGTGTAATAGTACTCTTACAAAGTGAGAAAAATTCTCTTAGTCATCCTCCAAAAACCCTTCACAAAACTGAGTTTTGGGCAGTGTCTTCTTCAATGCACATTGCAAAAGAAAATAATGATAGATACTTAATTGATCCAGGTGTCACTAAATGATTTGATGTGGAAATAGCTCCTTGATCAAGCACTTCAGAAGACTTAGGTAGAGGATTCCAAGCCTGATTACATGAGCATGATCAACCTATAACTGCAAAGTGATTCCCAAGCTATTGTGATTCCACGACTGCATGTCCTTTGAACTTTGGCCATGTGGTGTTGCCTTAATGCTAAGTGTACAGACTGTACACAGCACTGAAGGAAGAAATGAGCCTGCAGCCCATTGCCCTGCAAACACTGGGTATTCTGGTCCTAAAAGACACTGGAATGGTTCTGAATAACTTCTGAAATTTTGCTAACTTCAGTATATACAGATGTGACAGAAGGACAGCTGTTCTGTGTTCATGTAGGGGAAATGTGTCTACCTGTGTCCATGTAAAGTGTCACACAAATAGAGCTCATTGTCGCATGTATTAAATTCTCAGACTCTCGTTGCATTTATTGCAGGAATGTGGCATATATTGCATATTCATATGGTAGTTTTAGGCAGTATCTGATATACATTTTCTCAGACTCTATTTGGGTCTAGAATACTTTCCATTCAAGCTCTAAACAACACATTTATACAGCTTTGACTTTTTAAAATTTAAATTAAATTTAAACTTTAACATACAAAAGCCCAAACAAATGTAAGTTAGAGATATGTTTGTCAATTTTGAAGTGAGCAAAATATCGCATTCAGGAAAAATGTTTCAATTTGTTCTGTTCAACCTTTCCCTTTCACTCCCCACACTGGAAAAAGAAAAACTATAAACAGTTCAAAAATACAGCTTTAGGAAAATAAACTGACTAACTGGGCAAATAAATGTTACTGTTTCCTCTTCAGTATTCTGCAGTTTATTAATGTTCTTTAGATAAAAATTGCCAACAGGAAGTGCTCTTTTTTGAAGTGGTAATAATTTTGTTCTCTGTGTAAGGATGTCATTGTTCACTGTTTATATTTCTGTTTTTGGAAAACAAGTATTAAATTATTTTAAGTACTTAAACAAAATTGAGGTATACCTACTTGATCATGTTAAAATGTCAAAATAACAATAAGTATTTAGAAAAGTCGAAGTTACTTGACTTCTATTGAATGAGGATTTTTTTCAAGTATTTCATGTTTGTATCAGATCTCATAAACATTAAGGCTGATGACTTGTTCTCTGCCATTGTAAGATCTACCCTTTTGAGTAACAAAGCTCAAAAGCACTATTAAAATGGAAAAAGAACAGACTTAAAGTATTTCCTGTGTCTCCCATAGGCACATTATGGTTTCATTTTGCCTTAAAGAGAAATAATATCCAAACTTTTATAATCTACATGTAATAATGATTTTAATAGGATAAAGTTTTAGATGATATTCTGATATTATTTATCAGATGTTAAAGTTCAGACTTGCAATACAATATGCACAATTAAATCATACCCAAATAGTTAGGATTGGTTTCAGAAATGTGTATGTAGAAAACTTTAAAGAGATCACATTTCTCCTTCATCACCTCTGTTTTTTCTGGCATAATGTTAGTAGATTTGCAGTTTTCCTTTCTTATTCATATAAATAGGCATAGAGAAAAGATGGATTAGAAAATCTTTACACAGAATATTTCTGTTTCATATGTGAAATTTACTTAAATTAAAAAGGAACTTTCTGTATTTACAATTTTACAAAAGCAAAAAACTGCAATTCATTAAAAGAAGGAAGAGGCTCTAATTTTCAGCTATGTGGTTCACTCAGTATCTAATACAGAAAATGAGCAAAAAATATTTTTCAGATTCCTAATAATGCAACAAATGCATTATTTTTTAAGCTTAAAAATGCAGCTTATTAATAGAGTGTGTGTACCTAAAAAAAAATCAAGCTTATTTATGTGAAAGTAACATGGTCAGGATAAGAGTTCTTTTCAGAGAGAGTATTCATTTGTAAAAGTTAGCTTTCTTCTTGGCAGTGTTAGAGAGGAATGTTGGATTTAATTTAAAATGATTAATGAGATTTTGTCAGACTCCCTGCCTTTACCACCACTGCAGTTTGTCAGCACAACAACCTGGGAAACCCGGACGCCACTCTGTCGCCCTAAACTGCTTTCCAGGAAAAAATAAACCTGAGTAACTAGTGCCAGATACATGTCAATGGTATTGTCTTTCAGCTGTTGAAAGTTTAACTGTAAGTTGGGACATTTACACATTCTGAGGAAGTGAACCTCATTCATTACTTCAATAGTCTGTTTTTGACAGTGGATACCAGTGTAAACTGAAGTTTTCAGAGCAAGCACAGCCTTTATTATTAATCTTATGGAAAATACTATAATCCATGCAGAGGAGAAATTCTTTAACAGGGAAAAATATATATCAAAACTTGTTCAGCTAAGTTTTTCTGGAGAAAGACCATCTACATTTCATTAGGAGGATCTCATTCTTTGAGCACTACACACGCCAGTAGGTTGCTAGGAATGCTCTGTTGGACTCAAGGCAAATGCATTTGTGTTCACATGTGTACCAGAATCTGAAAAGTTCACAATACTTTTCGTACAGGACCATAACATGAGAAAATGAGTAATTCTTTTGAAATGTATGGTAGATATTGAAAGTTATTTACAATTTGCCTTTTTGGTTTCCTTGTGGAAATTTGTTCTGTTGGTCCACAGCTTGAGCATTATGTTCTCCTTAACACATGAAATACACAAAAACTGAAAAGACTATTTTAATTTCAAAAGCGGCCTTCCCCTTCCAAGGAAACACATTCCTGCCTGTGCTGCAAAAGTCTTTCTGCAGTCACATAACGCTGTATCAACAAATTGACCTTGCATTCACTCCTGTGGACCCCTTTATACACCAGTTCTATCAATTAACTCAGCGGGCCAAAAATCCTGTGAGGCTTCACAGTGATGTAGATGGTGAAAAAGACTTAGTACTGCTCTACTACACTAGGCAGAACATACTCCTTGTGAGCCACAATGGCACACTTATTCTTTGCATGACTTTTATCTTAGCTATTTCTTGCGTGTTAAAAAAACTATTTTCACAACTGCAGTTTCCCCGTCTTCCTATCCAGAATTCAGACTAATTGTCTTCATGACATGCAACACAATTGAATTGAAATATATTTTTATAACTGGAGAACTTCTGAAGTTTACTTGCCTTCAGGCAGCATAAATCACCTGCGTAACAAAGCAAGCAAGAAAATCACAGAACTGCATTAGCAGTGCTGGAAAGTGCATCTCTCATTGTGCTTCTTAGTCAAAATCAAGATGATGTATTTTTTTACATTAAGTGTAATTCTTGTTTCTATATTCCACTTAGGAATTTATATCAGTAAATGTATTTGCTGCTGCTCCATGCTGTCAAGTCTGACAGTGCCATTTCTGATTTTGTACTAGCAAAAGCTGGACTTTTTTTGATTTGGTTTGGTTTTTCCCTTGGCATAGCAGAGAAATTTAGAATAAATACTCAACATTCATTTATCACTGCAAAAATATAGTAAAAAATGCTTGAATCTTTTTTCCCTATATATAAGGTTTATTTACGTAATAAAATATGGAAGTCACATGATTAGTAATCAGCTTTTGTTAAATTCTTTTTCAACTTTTTAAAAGTTAATATATTAGTATATGATTTCCTTTTCTTGCTATTAAGTGTTCACAGTGTACATAGTGCTGCATGACATATACTGAAAATCACAGCACTTACAAGCCTAATTTGGAGTTTTAAATGGTACATAGACTGACGTTCTGATTTCCTATATAAGATAGATTTCATTTAAAATTATAAATTGTCAAACATAAATCAAGATTTATGATCTGAGTCTAAAGATTGAAGTTAGTAAAACGGAAAGAGCCAAGGGAAGAAATGTTCTTTGATAAGATTTTTCATTAAAACTAAAATTTTGTTGGGTTTAATGCAGATGAAGACAGACGTTTTAAAGAGGTGAGATTAGTGGGGTTTGTAAGAGGATACCTGGTCCCAGACTTGTTCAGACCTCATCCTCCCTCTTTCCTGCAGTAACATAACAGCCTTCCTG